TCTGAGCATTCTTGCACGCTATGTTGCTCCTGGGAGACACAGACCGGAGCACATGGCTGCAGCGAAGAGGGTATTGCGCTACCTGTGCAGTACGTCGGGCATGGGGCTAGTGCTTGGAGGGCGGAGTCCAGTGGTCCTTACCGGCCACGCGGACGCTTCTTGGGCTGACGACCAGGCTACGCAGCGGTCGTCACAGGGTTACACCTTCAGCCTTGGTTCCGGCTCTGTCTCGTGGCGGTCTACTCGCTCGTCTTCGGTTCTCGGCTCCAGTTGTGAGGCTGAGATCTACGCCGGGGCCATGGCTGCACAGGAGCTTCGCTGGCTCACCTACCTGCTGACTGACCTTGGAGAGCCGCCTCGTTCTCCTCCAGTGCTGTACGTAGACAACAAGGCCATGCTGGCCTTGTGTCGAGAGCAGCGCTTGGAGCACAGAACGAAGCACATTGCTCTCCGCTACTTCCTTGCTCGTGAGCTGCAGCAGCGTGGTCAGTTGCGACTTACGTACGTGGCCTCTGAGGCCAACACTGCTGATGTGTTCACCAAGGCACTCGCGCCTTGTGACCATCAGCGCTTTTGCACCCAGCTGGGTCTTGTACCTGTCTTGCCTCACTTGCTCTCCTCTTGACTTCACTTGTACTGTGACATATATATATACCTGCTCTTGTTTGTCTAGTTTTATATATATGTCTGTACTCCTGCATGTGAACTGGCCTCTGGCCCTGCTCTTGTGCTCGGACTGTGTGGTGACTTTGTGATCCACCCTGAGCTTGCTTTGCTTTGCTTTGCTTGACTGGTCTTGTGACCCCTTGTTCTCCCCCACTTTGCCTATGGGGGTGTGTCAGATTATCATAGTTGATGCATGTTTGTAGGCTATAGTGGGATAGCACATATGGGGTACAGCTTTCTAGGGTTGTATTTGTACCCAACCCTGACTTAGTCATTTCATTCCTGTTCACTTGTTTCACAGTGATCACCGAGGGAGGGATCACATTCGTGCAGCCATACTCTATATTGATAGTTAAAGAGCTCCATGGTTTTTAGGGGTTCAGTGTATGCAAACACAATATATATTCCACATTTAAAGAACAATAGTTCACACTACTCTTCACTCATAGGGGACTAGCACGAAATGTACAGTTAATATAGCCCACACTCTGGCATTGTTCAACGGCTCAGAGACCTACTCTGACACAGATCGTGGCAGAGTCTATTTGGCGCGCAAGTTTCCAAAGGGTCGCAGATATCTGTGGATCCCATTCGCCACATAAGTTTTTACGGGCAGCCCTTACAAAACGTCTGGCCGTTATCTCCTGTCACATATTTGGGTGTGCGGTGCAGATGTCAGAAACAACATCCGCTGCGTAGATAAGGGCTTCAGTGTGACGGCGCCACGTGTTCGTTCCTGGCAGAACATCTGCGACACCTGAGGCACGTGATTCGAGGTCGCAGATGTGGAGCAGATTCCCCTCAACTTCCGAACACGAGCCTACGAGAGAGACAGCAATTCTCGTTTAGATAGAAAGGTTGTTATCCAACACCGAATTTTTAGCTAAGGGTTCATCCGCCCAAAACGGGGAGGAGAGACAGCAAATGCTGCACACCACGAAGTCTCATATGACGGCCACTTAAAGATTCGCTAAACTAGAGGTTCCATCTGCGCAGGTGAACGCGACCCAAGCGTCGTTGCACCACGTGCTTCAACTCTGCTCGGAAAACTACGATTCAGTCCTCTTTAGGTGCAGCGTCCATCGACCCACCTCATTCTCCCGATTTTTGCATCCAAGCTTTCTTTCTACGCCCAGACTGCAGAGATCTCCAGAGAGGACTTCCACTAGCTTCACCGGGAACTACCCGGTGCTTCACCAACCTTAGGGGAGGCCGTTTCAGGAGTTTAAATAGGGACTTATTAAATCCAAGCCTCCGACTGCTAATTGAGTATAGGTACTGGGTCGCGCAAGCCATGGCCGACACACCTCTGCTTAGGGGTTGCGGCATGAAGGTTAGCATTACCAACGAGGACTACGACACTTTAACAGGATCGCAGAAAGAATGGTCAGAGGACCTTCTTAACTTCGCAATCTTGTAAGTACTACGTCTGCCTCGACTATAGAAAGATTGTTGGCGCCTGCGCCCTCCGCATCGACCGTCCATCAACTAAAACCGACCTCCTGTTTTCTATTATCTTCTAACATGCAGGGCGTTAACAAAAAGACTTCTCTCCATACAGCAACGGCAGAAGATTGCCATTTTTTCCTCATCCTTCGTACGGAAACGGAGTAAGCTAATTCATCCGAAAGCGATATCGAAGAAGCCAACAGATGGCCTCCTCACCAAAGACGCCCTCGTATTTCCGCAGTGGACCAAGTAAGTGCGTTATCATTCTCGCATATCGCCTACCTCACAGAGAGGTTCTCTAATAATATGCGCTTGCAATGTGCGGATTGAACAGTGAGCCGAGAGTGGCTATCAGCCTCCTCGTTCTCCTAGCTCCATGCGATCTCCGCACTCCCATCCGGAGAACAGACCGTACACGAGTCATCTTTTTCGACCCTAAGAGTGGTGTGCCGACTCACTCACACGGAGATTTTGCTGCAGATGTGTTGCAGTAAGTCATGCTGCTCATTGCCATTGAGATTGGATGGTTTTCGATTCTAACCGTTTATCTGTGTATGACTACAGATGGTTGCAGGAGCAATTGATTGTCGAGTACACAGCATTCATTGATGGCAACAGCAATAAGCACGACAAACTAGTCGTGAAAGACATGAAGGCGCGTTTGTCGGAATTGTACCTCCAATTTCCAGGGGGGGTGAGTAATTTTAGCATTCAATTTATTCGCGCGCGTCCAAATGTCTGTGGGTTACACCACGCTAACTCAAATACATTGTGCTCCGCGCTGGCAGATGACGAAAAATCTCGGATGGGCACAACCAGGGTCGGGCCTTCAAGTCGCCCACGCATGGACAAAGGTGCTTGAAAAATGGGATGACATTCTACAGCTGACGTGGGACGCCCCGTTTGTTACACTCGGCAAAGGCTCCCGCACGAAAGAGAAGGTAAAGGAGTTGCTTGTGGGAGAGTGTGACAAGTTACTCACTGTGCGCATCGACGACCACGAGGACGAGACGCAAGTGGGCCAGGGGGACGGTGCAGACGGCGAAGCTGCTATGGATGTTCCAGACGGGGGGATTGCGAGTGAGGGTCATCAGCCAATGGACGAGCAAGCATCCGGTGTAGAAATTGATTGGCCGGATCCTCAGTCCGAGATCGACAACCAGACAGTGCAAACTATCGTAGCAGGGGCGCCATCGACCTTTGTTTACACCCGCAGAGGAACAACGGGAATGCATGGAAGTGGAAATCAAAATGCGGCTTCGGTGGGGAACGAAGGTGGGCTAAAAGAGAGTGTGACGATAGAGATAGACGCTCCAGAGAACGGGAACGCAGAGGTGTTGCGCGGCAGCAAGCATGCTTATGAGCCAGGACCAGGAGAGCCAGACAGGGAAATGGTTGCTGCGGCACAGGCGGAGGCTTCAGAGAAGGCGAAATCTTTGGCAGAGGAGTTCCGACGCATAGAGGAGGTAACTCGACGTGTGCGGAGGGATTCGGAAATGGCAAGGGCCGCCGACGAGCCGACAAGGAGGGAGAAGGACCGGTAGAGTGCAGAATGTGTGAAGAGGCCGAGGACTGAGGGAGAGGCTACGGTCCCCATGGAGGCGGATACGCATCGACCTCACGAGGTGGCAGAAAGAGCCAGAGCTGCAGAGGAGCGAAAAAAGGTGGAGGAGGAACGACGGAGGGTTGAAGACGCAAAAAGTGCCAGGTTGGAGGGTGAGGCGAAGGAAGTGAGGTTTGAGGAGGCTCGTCGTACAAATGAGGTTGCTGAGATGGCGGCGCTGGCAGCAGAGAAACAAACACGGACGCTGGAAGAAGGTGCAAGATTGCGCATCGAGGAGGAGGCGCGTCGTCAACTGGCAGCAGAAAGGGCGAATGCCGTAGAGGAGCGGAGGCAATGGGAGACTGAACGGCAACGAACACAGGCCGCAGAGAGAGAGAAAGTCGAGGCAGCGGCAACATTGCGTAGAGACAGCGGTGCTGCTCGACAGAGGTAGGATGTAGATGGGGCGAGGGCTGCAGACTCGACGGCCAGTACTAACGCCGCAGAGGAGCTTGTGAGAAGGGAGCAGGAACGTCTGCGGGCAGAGGCTGCGGATAGAGCGAGGGCGGAAGCTGGCGCAGTGATTCGCAGAGAAGAAGAGGCTCTGGTTGCTACCGAGGATGCAGAGAAGGCGAAGGGCGAAGAGGATCGCACGAGACTGGAACAGGAACGGCAAATGGCAGAGACAGAGGAGACGGTCAGGGCTGAGGCAGCCGCGATCGTGCGCAGAAAGGAGGAGGCTCGGCTGGCTAAGGGTGAGGCAGAGAAGGCGAAGGTCGACGAGGATCGAAGGAGAGCGGAATAGGAACGGCAAAGGGCAGAGACAGAGGAGAGGGTCAGGGCTGAGGTAGCCGCGATTGTGCGCAGAGAGGAGGAGGCTCGGCTGGCAAAGGTTGAGGCAGAGAAGGCGAAGGTCGAAGAGGATCGAAGGAGAGCGGAACAGGAACGGCAAAGGGCAGAGACAGAGGAGAGGGTCAGGGCTGAGGTTGCCGCGATCGTGCGCAGAGAGGAGGAGGCTCGGCTGGCTAAGGTTGAGGCAGAGAAGGCGAAGGTCGACGAGGATTGAAGGAGAGCGGAACAGGAACGGCAAAGGGCAGAGACAGAGGAGAGGGTCAGGGCTGAGGCAGCCGCGATCGTGCGCAGAGAGGAGGAGGCTCGGCTGGCTAAGGTTGAGGCAGAGAAGGCGAAGGTCGACGAGGATTGAAGGAGAGCGGAACAAGAACGACAAAGGGCAGAGATAGAGGAGAGGGTCAGGGATGAGGCAGCCGCGATCGTGCGCAGAGAGGAGGAGGCGCAGCGTGCTAGAGAGGCGGCAAAAAGAGCGAGGGCCGCAGAGGAGCGCATGAGAGATGAGCAGGAACGTCAGAGGGCAGAGGCTGCAGATAGGGTCAGGGCGGAAGCAGCTGCATTGATTCGTAGGGAGGAAGAGGAGCAGAGGGCAAGAGAGGAGGCAGATAAGACGGTGGCCGTGGATGATCGAAGGATGGCTGCAGCGGCAGAGCGGATGAAGGAAGAGGCAGACCCGTTATCACACAGAGAGGAGGAAGAGCGGCGTATAGAACCGGTAGACATGGTCATGGGCGAGGCAGAGGCGACTATACGTAGAGTGGAGGAGGATCTGCGGAGGGTTGATGTCAGGCTTGAGTCCGAGACGACACTACCCAGCGGGGTGGAAACGCGAATTGCGACGACGGCGGCTCGCCGAACGACAGGGGATCCTCGGCTGAATCCAGACGTGGAAATGGGGGTAGAGAGTGTTACAACATCGACAGAGCATGGGAGAGTGGGCACGGGACAAGGAAGAGCTCAAGGGGATGAGGTGAGGGATGCAGAGCTTGAGGAGATGCGCCGTAGATGGGTAGATGAATTGGAGTCTCGGAAACGACGCGAGGAGGCAGCGAGGTCGAGAGATGCAGAAGAGAGGGAGCGAATCGAGCATGAACAGGAGCTGGCAGAAGCTGTCCAGCGGCGTAGGGCGCAACGAGAACGCTGTAGAGCGGAGGGGGAGCGGGAAAGACAACACGCTGCAGAGATGGCGAGGGTAGAGGCCGAGGCATTGCGTCAGATTCTGGCGGATGATGCTCGGAGCGCACGGGAGGAGAATGAACGGGATAGTGCGGTCGAAGTGCAAAGAGCAAACGCGGAGACATAGATTGCTGGGATTGGGGGAAACGCATCTCGAGCGTCTCAGGCTATGGATGGCGCCACAGTACGGGCAATCGCCGAGGATGAGCAAAGGTTGGCAGACGCCGAAAGGGAGCGTGAGGCATCTGCAACGAGAGCGATGCAAGAGGTTGAGCACATGCGCCGTAGGTGGGACGAGCAGCAGGTCACGCGAAGAGCAAGATTACAAACAGAGAGGATGCGGGTTGAGCAGGAAGAGAGGATGGCGGAGGCGGTGGCAGGTGATGAAGTGGCGAGGGCTACGCGTGATGCGAGTGATCAGTTTCGATACGGCGGCCGCGATAGTGATATGACGCAGAGAGAAAGAGAGTGGGGGGAAGCCGAGCACAACGTATGGCAGAACGTCATGCAAGGAGCGGCCATATTAGAGGAGACTGATGATGGGTTTGTTGAGGCGGGAACAGCCGGAGTTGGTGGAGGCGTGGCTGGAGTGGCAGAAGTTCTACGACGTCTAACGTTCATCGCGCAGGCCGTTGCCAGCAGCTCCGCACAACAGAATGCTAGGATTAGTGGCAACCTCCGCCAGCTTCAATCCGCATGTACGCGCATTGCCCGGTGGACAGAGGACTACAACGAGGACGCTGAAAACATGTTGCGGGAGTACAGAGAGGCGAAGGCGATAGCTATCATCGAACGTCAGAGGGCAGCGCAGACACGCACGGAAATCAACACTTCTATACAGGGGCTCCATCGCAGAGTAGCTGAACAGCGCGCAGTGGCACGGGAGTACGTGACGCTGTTGAGCTCGTTGAAGGAGCATGTAAAAGAGGGGGTAGATGCGGCAATGGGCCGGGCGGCGCTGGAGGGAAGACTTAGGGTGGTTCTACCCAACGACTACATGGAGACGATGAAAAAGGCGGTTGTCGCCAACGTCCAGGAAACACTGGCTGGGGTCAAGTCTGCGATGGATGAGAATTGCCACAGGCTTGAGACTTTGAAAGCCGACATCCTGGCAGCCGTGGATGAGAAGCTGTCTAGGAGGATACAGGTCGGCCAGGTTCCGGCCCCGCAACACAACCCACCGTCTGCCCCGCATTTCTCCCAACCTTTCACGTGTGACAACTCTCCAGATGCAGCGCTCGCGGCGGCCGCGAACATGGTCGAGAGATGGGGGTTTGCAGGCCGACAGGAGATGTTGGAGTCGGAAAGACGTACAGAGACGGGAGGGGAACACACCAGCGTTGACAGGGAGGCGCAGATGGCACGTGGCAAACCTACGGCGGTGACCAGCGTGGGGCGGGCTGACAAGGATGGAGAACGGGCTATTGAGGCGGCGGCGCAACAGCGGCGCATGGAGGAAGCAGAGCGGCAGAGAGCACTCGTCGAGGAGCAGCGTACTGCTAGAGAGGCGGAAGAGGCAAGGCTAAGAGTTGAGAATGAACGTGCGGCAGCGCAGAACACCAAACATGGAGAACGTGCGGTCTGCTGTCGAAATATGTGCAGAAGAGAACAGCTGTGCGCGAATGCGGATGGAGAGGGATCAAAGGAGTGCAGGGGCTGCAGAAAACAGAGCGCAGAAATCTGCAGAGATGCTGGAGCGAGATGCAAGAGCTGGGTAGAGTCAATGCGAAGATGCTGGGTGGATCACGATGAGAGTGGATCGTTCGGAGAGGGGGGCATGGTGTTTTACAAGTTGGCCATCACAAGGAACTGATGGTCACCCAAGCCGCGGATGGTGACCGGAGTCATCAACGCGTACAATCGGAGAGTGACGCTGAAAGGCCTGCAGCGAAGAGGCCGTGCCATTCCAACAATTCGCAGCCAGGGGATGCGGGTGTGCATGTAGTAGACGCAACGCGGGTAGGGGTCGATTTGCCCGCCATTGGGTCCGGTGTTCTACAGGTTCTGCAAGCTGGCAACGCTGATGTAGAGAGGGCCAACGACGATTCACACGAGCAGCCAGTTCCTGAGGCGGACGACGAGGGGAAGAGACCTGGAGTGCATCGGCCATTCAAGGCGCCGGGATTGTTCGAGAGAAACAAAAATGATCCAGAGAAGCTGCGGTACACATCTGAGCAGACGTTAGGGGGCAAGAAGCGGAACATGGGGTCACATAAGGAGGCGTGGAGTAGAAACTTCACCGTCTGTGTCTGCTGGCTCGCGTACTTCCCGGATTGAAACTTATCGTCTTACGGGATCCCCGCCACAGATATTGAAAGGTGGCGCGATGAACTCCAATTTGCGGTATCTATGCCGACGGGCGTGTGGAGCGTCATCAACGAGCTGTCGCTGGACAGATATGCCAAGTGAGTTTAGGTCACAAAAAGACTCTGGGGCGCCAATGAACAAACTTGTGTATGAATTCTAACCCCGCCCCTTACTTTGTTCTCTGGTGCAGTTTCAAGGTCCTTATGAAGAAAACGACCGACCTTATTGCTCGTCAGATAAGGTTAGAGATCGCCCTCTCTGCAGGTGTGGCTCGAGCGGCTCTACTTGGGACAAAGGCAGGGGTACCGAACCCGCCAGCAACTGTTGACCCTGTGACGTACGCGATAGGTATCGCGGCTGCTCTCTGCACACTGTGGTCTGCCTCGATCAACAAGCCAGACACACGATGGAAAGCAGATGCACAAGATGCAGCGGTAAAAGCGTACGACGACGCTGACGAGGCGGGGCGTGCAGCGGAGGTAGCGAGCCAAATCGTTCCAGCTCTGCGAAGTCTGTCAAAAGAAGTGCATGAGAAGGAGAAATGGGAGCCGTTTGTGGCAGCAGCGATCAAAACCCGCCTTCGGCAAGCGGAGAATGACGAGAGTGTGGATAGCATGGCCAAGGTAGTAGCCAAGGTAGTTGTCTACTGGTGTCAGTGCCCCGTGTCTTCATTAGGCCTAGCTAAATACCAGAAGGCCAGTCTGAAGTTTGCGAAAAGTAGGCGGCCGCCTAGACAAAACAAGGCTGCAGAATAAGTGTTTCCTCCATGGGCAGTTTCTAGATAGTGTGTGCTCTATGTAGTTTGTACAATATATATTGACTATCCGATAGTTCTTCAATAAACTATTTCTAAATAGGACTTGTTGAAACTATTTCTAGGGTTCTAGAGCCGACTTTTGATAGTTTTGGGCATAATTACCGTACGTTCGTAGAGGTCTTAAACGCCGCTTTGATGTAGATAAGCGCACTACACGAACTATCTATCACACAACACATCCTAATATCGTGAGGGAGTCCATGAGCCAAACCCGGCCAACACGAAAGGATACCCAAATGTTCGTAATGCCGCGTATTTGACGCGTCATTCGGGTTATAATCAGAAGGATTTATCCACACGTGTCTCACCAAGTGCATACACCATCCACAAACTCATGACGGCCCATTGGTCCAATACGACGTAGTTTCCTCTACCATGGGGAATTGTCATTCGACCAATTGCAGTGGTCTTTGATTGAGCAGCGCGCCAATAGTTTAGGGAGGTTTTCAGTTGCAGATTTGACCTACTCTGCCACACGATTTTTAGATATCACAGTTGACCATAAATTTGATGTGCCAGTTATGCGAAATGCCGCGCGCCAACACCAAACGAGGCGTAGAGTGCTTTTGTAGATGTAGACGCGCAAGATGTAGACCATATAGCTTTGCTGGCATGTCTTCCAGAGTGAGCGATCCAGTGCAATGTTATGTAATGTTGGTTTTTGAATGTAGTGTATAAGTCATGACTACCATGCAACTAGCAAGATTTGTTCAGTGGCGATCACGCTGAATTTGTCATGTGGGCCAACAAATGTACATGAGCTATGCCTGCAGATGTGAACGCAGGACACATGAACGCGTTTCGGTAGAGGATCGTTAAGCCACACGTGTAAAATATAGACGATAATCTGCAAGGACAATCCTATCCGTACAACATTGGTCACATCTATCGATGTAGTCCCGTTTACCGGTTTCTACACACCGTCCCTGTCAATGCCACCGCTTGTCGGTTGCAGACGTAGTCCCAGTACACTGTAGTGTAACCATCTCATGCATGTACATGGACGAGTCTAACAATGCTACACTACATACCGTAGTGCATGCAGATTTGAATGTGAACCCCTTGCATATGTAGTAACTGAAATGCAACATTGCAGACATGCTGCGCGCCAATGCGGTTACAACACATGTCAATCTGCAATCACAATCTGCAATAACATTGCCATCTGAAGAACATTCGTCCGGTCAAACGATGTACACTTGTTCAATTCATGCGTCTACCCAAAATGTCCCTGTCATTGCCTATCTGGCAAACCGTTTGAAGTAGAGACCAATACAAGTCCGCAACGGCGCTGATACTGCCTATGTGGACTTGAATGGTGGTGCGCGCCAACAAATATGCCTATCGGTTAACCCCAAATCCAGACCGCAGATTTTGAGCTACGAAGCCAGCCTACCCAATCGCGGGGAGTCTCAGGCTAGGTAAATGTTATCTGACATCAAACACATGGCATCTTCATATTCGCCTTTCCTTCGGGCGTGTTTCGTGTATCACACAGCTGTACCAATCCCTCATACACGGTCCCGTGGTTCGGGACAATTCGTAACTTCTGTCCGAGGCAAGTGCATGATACTGATAGCATATGTGGCAGAGTGAAACTTCAATGCAGTCGTGACATCTGGCCAGAAATCTGCCGTGGATACATTTCATCTCGTCTGCGCTATACCTCGGCCGCAGACAGGCCAATGTGAGAACGAAAAACCATATGTCAGTATGCACGTGGAATCGTTATTTTTGCTTCGCCCCCACCGATGCTCGGGCAAAGTTGTTATCTACCCGAAACGTCCCGGTCAATGCCAATCTGACTCTTTACCACGCATGCATTGTGTACAGTGCAGCACTCTGCCACTGTGCCACTGCAATTGACATTTGACGATAAATCAGACGTGGATTAGCTGATCTACGCTGCGCGCCAACGCGATCTCAGACATTACAATGTGAGGTAGTCGCACAACTGTCAAACAACACATGGCATCGGCAGCCTTGATTTGTATCCACCAATGAGTATGCAAAGTCGCGCTCTACCACCATACATCACGCATGCGATTCTCTCAAATGTCGAATCATAGAAGCTCAGACGCTGCGATGAGGATAACGAACCAGGAATCTAGTACACAGAAGGACACGTGGCATGTATCCTGTCGAGCAGGTCATAATCAGATGTGGAGATTGACAGATGTCAATCCGACGGAAAATAGACGCGCCTCGGAAGCCCGATGTAGGAGACCTCTGGCACAACGCTACCTTCTGCCAATACCTTGAAGGCGAATCCTGCACACCCACCCGACTCTGGCTTTGTTGACGAAGTCTTTCCCTGGCATATGCATTGATTCCCAGCATCAAACTTGCTAAGGTAGCTAGGTGTAGCAGCTGCTTCTCTTGTCAGAACATTATAGCTTACTTATTTGTGTAGGCTATAGTGGGGTATCCCATAGGGGGTACAACCCAATTAGGGTTTCCTATTTGTACTCACTTCGTTCGTAGTCATTTCATTTCTCGTTCACTTCTTCTCATGGTATCGAGTAGGTTCCCCTGTGGGAACTGTGCTTAGGGCCCACCACTACTGTGATTTTTTTTTTCTGCCCGGAGGGCGCTCCGGGCTCTCTCTTTCACGCTAGCGCGCCGCTCGTTCCGGCCCTTAGCCGCCAGCGCGCCGCTCTTTGCAGCCCGCGAGTCGCCCTTAGCCGCCCGCGCGCCACCCTTTGCAGCCCGCGAGCCGCCCTTAGCAGCCCGCGCTCCGCCCTTCGCAGCCCGCGCGCCGCCCTAGAGCCCGCACGCTTCCCTCGAGCCAGCGCGCCGCCCTACGCAGCCCGCGCGCCGCCCTAGAGCTCGCGCGCCGCCCTACGCAGCCCGCGCGCCGCCCTAGAGCCCGTGCGCCGCCCTACGCAGCCCGCGCGCCGCTCGCCAGGCCCCAGGCCGCCCGCGTGCCATCCGCGTGCCGCCCTTAGCCGCCCGCGTGCTGCCCGCCAGGCCCCAGGCCGTCCAAGTGCCGCCCATGAGCCGCCCTCAGCCGCCCGTGAGCCGCCCGTACACCGCCCTCAGCCGCCCGTGAGCCGCCCGTGCGCCGCCCTCAGCCGCCCGTGAGCCGCCCGTGCGCCGCCCGTCAGCCGCTATTGCGCCGCCCGTGAGCCGCCCGTGAGCCGCCCGTGCGCCGCTCCTGCACCGCTCGTACGCCGCCCGTGAGCCGCCCGTGAGCCGCCCGACAGCAGCCTGTGAGCCGCCCGTGCCCCGCCCTTCAGCCGCCCGTGAGCCGCCTGCGAGCCGCCCGTGAGCCGCCCGTCACGACACCCGAGCCGCCTGCGCAGCTGAGGAGCCGAGCCGCCCGAGCCGCCCGAGCTGCAGAGCCGCCCGGGTCGCCTGAGCCCGATCCGCCCGAGCCGCCCGAGCCGCCCGAGCCGCCTGAGCCGCCGGAGCCGCCAGAGCCGCCCGAGCCGCCCGAGCCGCCCGAACCGCCCGAGCCGCCCGAGCCGCCCGAGCCGCCCGAGCCGCCCGAGCCGCCCGAGGAGCCGAGCCGCTGGTGCCGAGGTGCTGCTGTTGCTGCTGGGCCGGCCGAGCTGCCGTGTTGCTGTGCTGCTGTACTCCCCGACCCGTCCTGTCTGGTGAGATCGCCAGCTGCAGTCATGGCTACCCCTAGTGTCCTTGCTTTTGACGCTGAGGGTCGTGCCATTGACTTTGAGGTCTGGCTCGACGACCTGCAGCTATTCTTACAGTGCGTTAGGGCAGACGGGCTTTCTCTTTTTGATCTCACCTCTGGCGCCATCCCTGCCCCTGCTGCTGATGCTGACGCCACTGTTCGCTCACAGTGGGCCACGCGCGATGCTGCTGCACGTCTTGCTGTGCGTCGCCACCTGCCTACCGCTGAGCGCGCGCACTTTAGCTAGTACAAGAGTGCCCAGACCTTGTACGACGCTGTAGTTGCGCGCTACTCCTCCCCTGCCACTGCTGCACTGAGCCGCCTCATGCTCCCCTTCCTCTTCCCTGACCTTGCCGCCTTTCCCACTGTCGCTGATCTCATTACGCACCTCCGCACTAGTGACACTCGCTACCGCGCTGCGCTTCCTGCTGACTTCTGCGCCAAGAACCCCCCCCCCATGTACATCACTCTCTACCTTTTAGTCACTCGCCTCCCTGACTCCCTTCGTGTAGTTCGGGA